AGAAACGATATAGAGAGGTCACTTTAAGGTAGTGGGAAAGTAACTGGAACCTAGCTGCCAGATCAGGACAAATAATATTGCTGATTATTCTTTGGATCTTATCAAGGAGCACAAGGTAAATAGCTGAGGCACAGGACCAGATTTGCCAGCAATATTCTAAATATGGACGAATGGTAGACTTGTAGATATGTAAGATAAATTCTGGGAGAAAAATTGTCCCACCCGACTAGTGAATCGACTTTCTCAGCAGCTGATTTAGCAATGGATTCAATATAGTTTTTTCCACTTTATATCAACAGAGAAGGTTAGACTGTGAAGAAGCAACGAGTTACTTTCTTGGAGGTTAGCATCAGCCATGTTGATGGATGGAAACGAGTAGTTTCTAAGTTTATTAATGGAGAAAAGATAGTTTCAGAGGTGTTAAAATTAACAAACCATCTTTTGCCCAAGTTAACGTTGAATTTGAGATCGTTTGAACATCAGCTGCCATTTTGACCTTGTCAGCTTGATAAGCCTTACTATCGGAGCTGGAGTAAATTGTCGTGTCTACGTAGATATCAAGTTGAGAGCTGATGTCATCAGAAAGGTCATTAATGAACATTAAAAGCAGAGTAGGATTGAGCCCTTGGGGAGGGGAGCACCTACGTTAGTATCAATGGGTCTAGACCAATGACCGATCAGGATAACTTTCATTTCACGACTTGATAGAAAAGACTGGATCCGTTCCAAAAAGTAGTTTTCAGCTTATGGAGAATACCAGAATGCCAGACCCTGTCAAAGGCTTTCGAGATGTGTCCAGTGCTACAGCGTGGGCTTCATCGTTTTTATCTAAAGCATAAACTCTTTTCGCAATTAGCCTCAGTAAATCAGCAATTGACCGGAAGAAACGAAAACCATGTCGGTTGTCTCTGTGATGAGAGATGATGAACCAATTCAGCATTGATTAGGTCCTCCAGGAGTTTCCCAAAAAGAGATAGGAGGTTAATAGACTCATAATTGGAAGGATCAGATGGCTGACCAGAGTTCTTAAAAACTAGAACAACTGATGATGATTACCAGCAGTCAGCAAAGCAAGAGGCAGCGAGGTATTTATTATAAGAGTTTAAAGAGACCAGGAGCACACTTCTTAATGACTATTTCAAGGATACTATAATGTCAACATGTCTTGTCGGGATCTAGGTTAGAGATGATAACAGATGTCATGGAAGGGGTTATATGCATATCACTCAACAGAGATTTAGTTCTAGGAGGCAAGTTAAGCAGGGATATTCCGGATGAGTCAAGAGTAGAGTTTGAGAATTTGGGGGCAAGATATTCACCTTTATCAGTAGAGGATGATAACACCACATATTTATATAATGCCTTATTACACCCCATATTTATATAATGCCCTATTACACCTCATATTTATATAATGCCCTATTACACCTCATATTTATATAATGCCCTATTACACAGCTCGAGGAGAGTAGGTAAAAAATAAATCAAGTAGATGTTTTGCTGGGGAAACGAGTAAGGAAGTTTCGTGATTTGAGCCAGGCACTGGGCAATGGAAAAATTCAATGTCTGAACAACCGTCAGCCTCAATACTTTTAGAATGTTTAAGCCACGTATTGTTGTGAGCATTAAAGTCATCGAAGACAAAGATGTTCGCAGAGGAAGAGAAAGTGCCTTTTCTACACTGTCAGCCTTTGCATCTAATATACTTCTGTCCTGGAAAAGGGGAAGGGATAATGGAAAATGTGATAGCTAACAGATTTTAGTAACAACATACGGAAGCACATTAAGGTATAGTCCTGGCGCCTCGTGAGACAATTCCATGGTCACTGGAAGTTTATCCCAGATAAAAACACCAAGGCTATACATGTGAATTCTGGGATCTTTTCGACAATTTCATTGGTAGCAATGGAAGAATTTCAGGAACGAATCTACGCTACAGAAGTTGGAACGGATACGACGAATATTAGTGAAAGAAAGGCAGAGGTGGGTAGGTAGTATTTTGTTTACTGGTTTAGTGTATTTCATTTTGTCGTTTTTCCATGAGATTCGTTTTCAGAAGAGAGGGAGTAAAGACAACCCTAATTGTCACTATCTATCATCAGTGGTAATACAAGCAAACAAGAGCATAGCTGAGAACAGAGTATAGTAACTTGCCAAACGGAAATCCATGCAAGGACAAGGACCCATGTACGATATGGCACTAGAGATGCCCTGATATTAAGCGACTGTTTATCGGTGCAGCCTCTCTAAACGCTGCCAAAGAGTTCAGGCTCCAAAAGTCGGAAGCAGCAGCGTGCAAAGTGCCAAACTGTCACACTGACAATGGAATGTCACAGCCACTGTCCAGTCCGATCATCAAAATGTTAAGACATTTAAATCAGTGTGGCCCAGGTAGAAAAAACAAAGAGAACTGGTAAAGTACATCTTAATGGGGGAACAAGGGGGGAAACACAACTCCAGATAAATAGATATGAGAACAAACGTCCTTGGAATTGAACATTGTAAATTTTCTTTTAATTAGTCGACCGGATGACATGACAAGGCAAAACGTGGTTAAAAGTTATCTCATGTAGAAAAGAAGATGATTTTTTTATAGTATTATATAAAAGTATATTAAAATCGTCATTTTTATGAGAACAATTTTTCTTCAATTGAATTTAATATTTTAATTTCTTTTGATTAGTCGACACGATGTCACGACAAATCACACAATGGTTAAACGTTATCACATGTAGAAATGAAGATGATTTTTATCACAGAATTTATTATTATTATTATCATTATCATTTTTATGAGAAGAATCATCCTGGCATTTAACATTTATTTTTTTTAATTAGTCGACACGATGACACGACCAATCTTAAAATGGTTAAAATTCATCTCATGTAGAAATGAAGATGATTTATATAAAATGATTTTACCACTATCATTTTCATGACAACAATTATCTTTCATTTTATGAATTTAATTCTTTTCAATTAGTCGACGCTCTGATATAACCACGACCAATTTGGTTAAATGTAATCCCATGTAGAAATGAAGATGATTTATATAAAAGGATTTTACTACTATCATTTTTATGAGAACAATTTTCCTTCAATTTATGTATTTAATACTTTTTTATTAGCCGACGCGATGATATGACCATGTCCAACATGGTTACATGTTATCTCATGTAGAAATGAAGGTGATTTATATCAAATGATTTTACCACTATCATTTTTATGAGAACAATTTAATTTCTTTTTTTAATTAGTCGACACGATGGGACTACCATTCCCAAAATGGTTAAATTTTATCTCATGTAGAAATAAAGATGATTTATATAAAATTATTTTACGACTTTCATTTTTATGACAACAATTTTCCTTGAATTTATGAATTTAATTCTTTTTAATTAGACGACGCAAAGATATGACCAGGCCCAACATGGTTAAAAATTATATCATGTAGAAATGAATATGATTTTTATCACACTATTATAATATCGTCATTTTTATGAGAACTATCGTCCTTGAATGTATTTACGTCAATTAATTTCCAAACAATATTAATGATATTTAGAACGTCATATAATCATTTTAATTAAATACAAGATTTTTTTAAAACTGTCATATTTTCTCCACAAACATTAGGAATATATGCCTTTACTTGTTTGCTTATATTTTCTGCAGTTCTATTTCCCTCGGCTGCAATGGAATTGGTAACACTTCCTCTTAATTGTTACACAGAACAAGTGAAGGAAATGAAGAATCGGGAAAAGTGAGAGATTTTGACACTAAATATTACCATTTATCTATCATCAATAAACAGGAATCAATGTCTTTTATAAAAACGTTCAAAGATATATTTGAAGATATATTCTTGAAGACATGTGCATTTAGGAAAGAATGATGTGGTCTTTGAATAAAATTGTTGAATGCAATAAACTTTTTTATTTTATTCCTTTTCATCTTCTGGGGCGATGATTTCTTCAGGAAATCTTGAATAACACCAATTCCTTGAGAGTCTGATATGAAAATTGCATCAATAAAACCATTACCTCGAGATGCAACACGGAAATCAGATCGGAGACGAAACATACGCTGACTGTGTGATCAAGGTCGAATTAGGAGAGTCAGAAAATTTTTGAGTAAACCAGAGAAAATATTTTTAAAAGCTTTTAATCATTTTTAATGACGAAGAACAATATAGATATAAACTGTTTCAAATCATTTAAAATATATTTAACAGAAGAAAATTAAAGATTAGCCAATTATAATGTCAAGTTTAGAAGACAAGCATGAATTATTTGCGAATTATTTTCTATTTACATTCACTGAACACAATTGACCATTTGTAAATTATTTGGGAAATTGTTTTCTTGTTGAAAGATGTAAATTGTTTCCACGATTGGTAACACTTTCCAACGCGTCTCTAACAGTCTGTTATTCAAAACGGACATGATCACTGGAATCCTCGATGTGAATATTAAAATACCGATTTTGATATATGTCGACATATTTAGGGTTAAGTTCTGAAAAGTATAGGCGCAACAGGCCAATACGTAAGCCCCGACAGTTAATTTGATCAGAGCCTTGGCAACTTCATACCGAATCGGATGATGTTCCTTAACAATTCTTTCAAACAAATTCCGATAAATGAAACGCTCTCCTAATCGAATGTAAACAAAGTCCTGGCATACATTCTGGGCCAATGTAGTCGAGAATTTCTGCAGGGAAAGATAGGTTTCACAAATCGATTCATCAATAGAAACCAAGAAATAGAAAAACATTGACAATAAAATAACGAAAGCAATGGCGTCTGTTTTAGCTATCAAGGCGATTGTAATGTAAATAACATAAGTATTGATTAAGTGAAAGCTTACGACAAAGATATTAAGGCAAGAAAGAAAAAAACAAATATAAAATTGTAAAATCACGACTAAACAAATTATTACGACTATCCTTCGACTCAAGCCAGCGTTTCTCCAAAATGGAAACATATAAATCTGTGTGTAGCTATAAGGAATTGCAAATAAGATCTGTAGAAAAGGGAAGCCATAATAGACGATACAGATGAGCAATTCGAAAATACAAAGGAAAGAAAATATGAAAGTGCAAAGGAAAGTAATCAGAATACCTATCAACAGACAAAACGGTTTTGAATTACTGAAATAATTATAAACACTTTTACAACGGTCAAACCATCGCTTAATAACCGCGTACCAAAACGACGGATTTAACGCAGTCAAAAGACTTGATTTCAGAATCGCGTGTAGCAAGTCGTAATCTTGTACGTTGGAAATATTTAGCCTGCCAAAACGCTGCAACATTTCGATATCTTGCATGAGGAATGTCCATGTTTTTCGTTGGTGGAGTCTACTATATGCTATAGTTTCGCAGATACGATCTGGAATATTAATGAAAAGCAGTCCAAAAATCAAAAAGACTGAATACCAAACAAAAGGACCTCCAAAAAAATACCCAGTGTTTTCCGCACTGTTTACAAAACCGAACATCATTGACCTGTATCCAAGTGGCATGTTATTGTCCAGATAAGATCTTAGTTTTTTCTTCATTGTAGAATATTGTAAAAGGAGATCAGCGAAGATAATAAGCAGACATGAGAAAACAGCAAAAGATCTTCGAATTCTCGACGCAAATGTCGATCTATTCTCGAAAAGAAAAAGCCACTTGACAAAAATCCCAAAGCTATAATACGGATTATGTTCATTTAGCCAACTTGATTCAGTTCCGAATGGTGGAAGGTATTGTTCACTTCCTTCAAACGTTACGTTCACTGAATGAATCAAAGAGAATGGTTGAATTTGGGGACTGAGTTTGGCTTTTGAAATGAATCCAATAATTAGAGGGAAAAATAAAAATGCAAATGAGGCTGCAATCGTTTGAATAGTAAGGATAAAATCTGTGTTGATTTTTTTGCCTCGGCATAAATCGATTGTATTATTATAATCGGCTTGAGTATCATTAACTTTACAACAATATCGAAGTAAAATGTTCTGAGTCAACCCGATATGTTGATGAATCCTGAATGTAGAATCTGACATATTTTTTCTGTTGTTAATATCATAGCAGATGAAAGCGGAAGTCTTTTTGTCTGGAAGTTTCGCTTCTGAAACAACTTTGATCAGTTCGCGAAACACAAGTCGAAGAAAATCCAATCTTGTCACATTGCTTTCATTGCATGATTCGGAAACATTCATTCTCACTGTTAAAGTGGATGTATATTCTCTCAAGATAAACAGTGAATGCACTTCGAAGTCATACGGCATGGTCATATAAACTGGTAATCCTTTTTCTCCATCGTATAACCACATGTATTCGTTGGGATTTGCAAAATGATCATCTGGTTTTGATTTGGTTAAGTCATCGGCTTCTTTTGAGTCGTATTCAGTTTGAAAGAAAAATACACTCTTTCCGTTTTCCAGTCTCTCATTGAAACGTTTTATTGATTGTTCAGATACATGGACGACGCATTGGTGTTTGTCTGCAACTTTCATTGGCTGTTGGCATAGAACACGTGACAAGACGAGTGAGAAGGAAATTATGTAGATGTACATAATGGATTTCCGGTTCCAGTGCAGAATCATCTCGTCACAAAAATCTGTGAAGATGGTAAAAATATAAATAATTAAAATTAATGAGAGAAATCATTTTAAAAGTATTATCATCTCGATATCAAGCATATTAACAGAATTTTAAAAATAACAAAGAGAATTTAAATTGAATAAGATGAAATTATCAAAACTATTTAAATATTTTTGAAAATTTCATCTTATTTTGTTTCATAAAATATTTAAGGACTAAAAATAATACTTAAAAATGAATGATCTTGATGATATATATATATATATATATATATATATATATATATATATATAGGTAGATAGATAGATTTAAGTAACGAAAATCTTGGTAATCTATATGAATAATCCCAAGGAGGATGAAATCCGGAGAGCTCAATGTTAAATCAGCGCGAATAATTTAATTTGAATAAATAACTGACCACGTTAAGGTTCCATTCGTTATAATTTATTTCACCAGAGATTTTATTTTTCTCTGGATCTTCAGTCTTCGCTCATATATACAAATATATGTATATATGTGTATATACTTGTATAAATAGAGATTTAATGTAAAGACAGAAATCTTTTATTACCTTCTAACTTTTGATTTACCTTCTAATCTTACTTCATCTTGAAATAATGTCTAATTAGACTTGAAAAATTAGAAATTTTACTTCTCTGGAAATAATTTCAATTTAATTCGATCACTTTGATTTAAATTAAAAAATATTAATCCTTAACCATTATTCACGATATTAAAAAAATTAAAATTTGTTTTTTTTTTTTTGTTTGAAATTTAAATACTTAATTCACTATGTAACCTTAACTGTAAAATTTGAGAAAAAATTTAAATATGTATAAAGATGGATGCCTGTGGAAATATGTATATGTATATGTAAATATTTGTGTATGTATGTGCGTGTATACCGATATGTATCGATACATGTGTATGTGGTTATATATATAATTGTACATGTATATGATTATATGTGTATGTGTATTTACGTCAATGTGTATGTGGCGTGTGTATGTAAAAACAGTAAATTCTTTTATTATTACCTTCAAATCTTACTTCATCTTGGTTTGAAACTTAAACTTTAATTAAGCAAAATGTATTTAAAAACGATATTACAACCATATGAGTAACTTCAATGATGAAAAATCCAAACATAGTACTACAATATAGAAAATTAGACAAAGACCCCATCCTGAAATGGGAAAATATTAAAAAGATGTTCCAAATATAGAGCAGGTTATAAAATTTGTCAACTATGTCTAGAGGAAAAATTAGCTATAGTTTTATACAAAGAACCTGAATATTTATTAAATTCTAAAAATTGAAATTCAAAGTAAATGTAGACACAGAAAACATTGGTTGTTAGATTAGGTCTCCTCTCCCTGGATTTTATTTTTCTCTTCGATTGAATAAATGGGTTTTTACCCCCGGTTGTCTCTAACCCGCCATACCTTTTTACTTCATTTTTTTCTCTCTATTTGAATAAATGGTTCTCCCCAACCCTCCCCTGTTGTTTGTTTGTTTGTTTTTTTTTTTGGTCACGTGGTTATGATTTTTTTGTTTATTGACTATAAGTATTCCGTTTTTTTTTTTTACCTTTTTAGCCAGCCTTCCCTGACGATCCGCTTAGGTGAAACTTTTTAAATTCGAAGCTTTAGGCATCCATTTTTGAAACATGGTTATTACTGTGTAACGAAAAACCATATTTTAAATAAATCAATTTATAATATTAATGCTCTGTAAATTTACATTGAGCACTATTTTGTAAAAGAAAAATATCAATAAGAACACCGGATTATATATCTTACTGTTCTTTCTTTTTACACACACACACACACACACACACACACACACACACACACACACACACACACATATATATATATATATATATATATATATATATATATATATATATATATATATATATAACCAGGTTAGACGAGAACGAATAGATTGCAACATTTTTCTATAGAAGGTTTTATGCAAAATCTAATTTTCAGGAAAGTGTTTGTCTGACAATTTTAAAAAGATTTTGTCAATATTGGGTTTCATTTCCCAAATAAAAAGAAAGGGGGAAAGGAAATAATATTTCTTTTTCTTTGCTTTCCGTTGTACATATCTGGCTATGAAGAAAATATACGGAAAAAAAACAAACAAAAATAAAGTAAATTCAGGTTTGTATTTCCAGTAGACAGTATGTAAGCAAATATATGGATTTATTTTTGCTTGTTTTTTTCCTATATTTTTCTTCATACTGTCGGATCTACATCCATATATTTGCTTACATGTCTGGCTATATATACTAAATGTAAATTAATCTTGTATGAGCGGGTTAGGAAAAGAATAATGATCTTAACGATGTAATATATATAAAATTAAACATATCTGGCTACGTTAAATGTAAATTAACCTTGTATGAGCGGGTTAGGAAAAGAATAAGGATTTTAACGATGTAATATATATAAAATTAAACATATCTGACTATATACGTTAAATGTAAATTAACCTTGTATGAGCGGGTTAGAAAAAGAAGAATTATGATTAGGATGGATTATATATATAATTGAACATATTTGACTATACATGTTAAATGTAAATTAATCTTCTGTGAACGGGTTAGGAATAGAAGAATTATGATCAGGGTGAATTAACCAAAAACAGTATCTATAATTAAAGTTATTTGGCTATACACATTATCTGTAAGCTAGTGTGAACGGATTAGGAAAAGATTAATTACGATTAGGATGGATTGAACAAAACGTAATCTAAATTAAACTTATTTGACTATATACGTTATCTGTAAATTAATCTCTTCCATCGGGATTAGGATAATAATTGTTACGATTAGGGTGGATTAACCAAATTAATCTAGTATGAGCCAGTTAGATGAAGAAGAATTATGATTAATATGGATTAACCAAAATGTAATATGTAATTAAACTTATTTATTTATATATGTTATCTCTAAATTCAGATAGTGTAAGCGGATTAAGAAAGGAATTGTTACGATTAGGCTGGTTTAACCAAAACGGAATCTATAATTAAACTTATTTGGCTATATACGTTATCTGTAAATTAATCTATTCCGTGCAGTTTAAAAAAGGAATAATTCCGATTAGGTTAGACTAGCAAAAGCCATGTCAATAATCCAACTCGTATCATATCTGTAAATTAATCTAAATCGGTCGAATAAAACAGGATTAACTTATAGGATGGATTAACCACTAGCACAATCTACAAATCAACTTCGTTGTCTAAAAGCTTATCTGTAAATTAATCTAATCTGTTTGGGTTAGGAAAATAATTTTATTTTCTGTTACGCAACAGCAGATTCGACAAATCTTATTCTTTATCTTTAAACCTAATCTGTAAATTAATCTCGCCTGAGTGGATTATGAAATGGTGAATTGATGATTAGATGGAATCGCGTAGAAGAGAAAATCTTTTAAAACTCTCTTTTCTCGTCGGTGGATATTTCAACCTTATTTACTTTAGACTTTTACAAATCAAAAGCTTAAACATGTCATGTTTGTTAAATATCAGCTGCTGTCACGTGATGTCAACAAAAAAGAGCCTATGCTAAAAAAAAACATAAAAAGAAATGAATGCTATCAATTATGAATATGAGAATTTCGGAGATCTCCCTTATAGGAGCCTTGTGTCAGTCACTTAAACCAACAAAATAAACAAATATTCACAACATCTCTCGTTGAATGAAATATTGTCATACAGGAAGAAAATGAGTAACTACCGACACTGAGGTTCGATCGTGACACTCTGGACTTATGAATATATGTTGTCCTCCAGGTGGATAAATAGGGCTGTTAGGCTACTGACTGCAGTGATTATTGATTGACTATTGAGTGGAACTATTCAGTTAAATTAGTGTGAATTATTGTGCGTCGATGAGTTGGGTTTTGATTTAGGATTTACCGGACGTTAAGCCGAGCCGCGCTTCAGGTATTCATAGAAATTGAAATGGTTAATAATTATCGTTAGTTGACTTTTCCTTCTTTGTTCTTGTTAAGTATTTATTTGAGGTTGTAATTAAATACTGTTTTATTTTAACATTGAATTTAAATTAATTATTAACGGCCACCGTATGTGATAAAAAATATACATTCAGTCCGGAGACATTACAGGTAACTTTTTTGTCAATATTCAATAAAATGTTGGATTTTTTTCTTTTACGTCATCGTCTGTCACGCATGCACACTCATCCACAATGCAAAAGAGATTTTTTTTTTGTTTTCTGAATGTACTTCCGTAATCATTTGTAGTCGATCGTAATAAAATAGCAGCTATGAACATTGAAGTGTGTTCATGTTTATTAAAATAAATATCCATCCTATCAATTTTTATATTGTTAAAAATGCTTGAATAATAATAATAATAATAATAATAATAATAATAGACGTCTATTTGATTTCATTTAACTTTTTTTCATTTTCTTTTACTTTTAATTTGATTGTTTTATCCTTATTATAATTTTTTTTATTTTTTAACCTTTCCACACTTCCAGTGGAACTTTCCGTAAATGAATCCCGCTTTTTTTAAGAATAATGTATACTTGTCAATGTGTGTATATGTATGTCTATACACACATACACACACACACACACACACACACACACACACACACACACACATATATATATATATATATATATATATATATATATATATGCGTGTGTGAGTGTTTGTTCGTATGTGTATGTAAGCTCATTGATAAGGATCGTATTGGCTGATTGTCTATTTTTACCTGTTTTTCATAATAATCGCCAACATATATCCACCTCTGACATTTCATCTGGTAATGCCAATTGCGACTTACACTAAGTTAAAACTTAGTATAGTTATTACCATTTCCATATCCCTATGTTATTTCCTTGAATGAACTCATGAATCTTGAACATCGGAATATAACCCCCCCCCACCTATTTTATTGTCAGGAAGAGCTCTTTAGTCTTTTAGGTCGACAGTTGTCCTAGAGATTGTATCTTGAACAAAATTACCCCTTGACGGTCAAGGACAAAACGTCTTAGGTCTCTGGTTAGGAGCAGGCAAGAAAATTAAGGATCGGAGTGGGACCCGGTGAGGTTAAGTGAGGGATTAGCATAGAGTACATAACAGAGATTAACTATAAATGCTTAACTTAGTAAAAATCCTAATATCCCCTCTGAAAAAAGGCGTCAGTCCAAACATGGTCTGTTTAGTCAATCAAAATTCAATAAAATGAAGTCACCTGTGAACGGAAAAATTACTCTCAAATAATACTTCAGATAAACATGTTAACATTTCCCTCCCTCTCCTCTCTCTCTCCCCCTCTCTCTCTCTCTCTCTCTCTATCTATATATATATATATATATATATATATATATATATATATATACCGTCGAGTGAAATATACATTCAGTGTGAACTCGTTACAGCTAAGTTTTTTTGTCAACATTTGATACAAATTTAGTTTTTTTTTTCTCTTACGTCATCGTCTTGTATGAATGTTCACCTAAATGTTGTCTATTCTGTAAGATGCCAAATTCAAAGGATAATCGAATTTTATGGCACTTTTCACCGTCCACTCCCATTACAGCCGAGACAGATGGTCGTTAACTTAGGGAGGAGTAATATAATCGGCTATTTTTTTCCATCACATAAATTAATCTCTTGCGAGGAGATTATGCAAAGAAGATTTACGATTAGATTGAATTAACCAAAACAGAATCAACATTTCAGTTTGTTTAGATATGTATCGTAACTGTAAATTAGTCTAGTCTCAGTGGGTTAGGCAAAGAAGTATTAAGATTAAGGTTAGATTAACCAAAACGAAATCTATAATTCAAATTCTTTGGCTATATATCTTATGTGTAAATAAATATGTGTCGATAAAACCGGAATAATATTTAGAATGGATGAACCAATAACAGAATACACAATTCCAATTCTTTGACTAAACAGTTTATCTGTAAATCAATCTAAATGGGTTAGGGAGAGAATAATAAAAGACGAATTGACTATTAGATTGAATTGCGTAGAACATTGAATCTTGTAAATCAATCTTTTCTCATTCCTCGCCTGCCATATTTATCTCCTGCAATAAGTTAAAAAAAATATATTTCTTACCTTGATGCTATGGATTAAATGAATATGAGATCCTATATTCCGGAGAGCTCCCAATCGGAGCCTTGTGTCAATCACTTAAACAAACAAAACAACCAGGTACTCCTAACAAGATCTATCTATCGTCTGAACCCCTTTACAGCTAACTTTTTTTGTCAACATTTGATATAAATTTAGATTTTTTTCTCTTACGTCATCGTCTTGTATGCATGTTCACCCAACCGCAATGCACAGGACGCGTTTCTTGTCCGCTAAAACTACTTCTGTAATCAAGTGCAGTATACATTTCAGAAAACAGCGACTGAGGTGTGATCATTTTATTCACATAAATATCTATCCGGTATGGAGAAAATTTACAGTTAATGCTCATGTCGGCGTCATTTTAAACTGTAAACATGACTCCTTTAGGACTTTTTAAACAGAAATTATTTGAATTCCATTACATTATAGAAGTTAGCATTCCTTGTGCCACATAAGAACTATTATTGGCTTAATATTAACAAAGGAAAGAAATGTGCTAAAAACATTGAATAAAACTGAGCAAGATTAGAGTTTACATAAATATTTGTGAAAAACGATATTAACCAATACACACACACAGACATATATATATATATATATATATATATATATATATATATATATATATATATATATATATCATCATCATCATCATCATGGATTGGCTTCGCAAAACGAAGATCAAGGGGTGAGTCTTTACACGCTTGCCGGCAAGTCCAATGTGGTACAGACATATACAGTCACGGTAGTTGCAGCTGAAAGTCCGTCCAGTGCTTGATGGGATAGCATTGCAGTACTTCCTCATCTGCCTCTTCTCCCTGACAAGCCACCCTGCAGGTAATTTCAAAGGAGACAGCACGTTTCGTACTGAGACGCCAGACGATTTTTTTTTCAGGCAATCTTTGAATTGCTTCTTTGGTACCCCCTCTGCCACAAATCATCACCTGCAGTCTGGTAGTTACAGGTTGTAAGGATTCGTCATTCCTCCAAATAAAGACTGTTTTTTTGGGGGGAGGGGGGTCCGCTAAAATATTTCCCTCTCATATATATCCGCGCGCACATAGTTTTATCTTTTCTTTTATATTAATCTCAAGTCCTCCTTGATCTCGATATAGATCGTAATCGGGAAAGATCGGGTACTTAAAACTGGATGTGAAACCATTTCGAGATTTATCGAACCATATCGAGCGGTTTGGATAAGTTGGATAAGTTATAATTTATAATAAGGGGAATTAGTGTGGACTTGGACAAGTTGTGGCGCCCGGGATTCGGTAGTTCGTACGAGCTATATCGACCGGATGTCAATTAAGATAGTAGATTTACGGATCTTAAGATGTTTCCATTCGTCCGGGTTCGGGTAAACTTAGATAAGTCTGAGACTGATTATTGGAAATTCAACACGTCATTGTTCGAGATAAACGATTTTCATGGCCAGTTTTGACTAATATTAATGCGAGAACTGACGGGGAGTGTGGTCAGGAATAAGTGGTGGGTCCACCTTAAGTCTGTCATTAGGTCAATTGCGGCTGATTATAGGTTGTTGGCTCAATCGAGATAGATTACGACCGCAAACGGTCCCGAATCTCGATTAGAGTCTGCCATCAAATCAGGAGATAATGTGGAAGTAGCCGTAGCTATGGTCGAGCTGGCATATTCGCTTGCCAAGAAGGACCAAGCTCTCGTAGTAAGGGCTCGGTTAAAAGAATGTCTTCCAAGATTACGTAGAGCCGCTGATCGTCACACCCCAAGCGTCAAAATGCCGGACGTACGACAGAAGATCAGCGATCGAGTAGCGAGAAGTTGGTAAATAAAAAAAAAAGCTACATCATCACGGGGCGTACGAGTGGACGTTTTGAACTCAATCAATACAGGAAGGTTGGAACTGGGTAATACTAGCCCAGATATGTCAGAAATATTCGATTTGATGTTGATCTGTCTTATGTGAATATAGAAGACAGCGGGAGGAAATTATTGGGATTCTACAAGGAACCGGACATTTTTCCAAAATCATTAGCGATGGATCATATGGCAGAAATATTCGATTTGAGGTTGATCTGTCTCTTGTAAATATAGAAGTCGGTGGGAGGAAATTATTGGGATTCTACAAGGAACCGGACATTTTTCCAGAATCATTAGCGATGGATCATATGGCAACAATATTCGATTTGAGGTTGATCTGTCTCTTGTGAATATAGAAGACGGCGGGAGGAAATTATTGGAGTGATACAAGGAATCGACCATTGTTCCAGAATCTTTAGCGGTGGATCATATATATTAGTTCTAATTGAGGTCTGAGATAAACTTGAGTTCCGATAAGCGTTCAAAGCCAGAATTGATAGAATGATAGGCGAGGGTTTGAGATCTGCTCGGTGATGGTAAAGCGTTGCTAGTTTGGTTTTGCAGGTATTGAATGTTATATGCCAGTCCTTCCCTCATTGACCCGCCGGGACTAGATCAAAGGAGAGATCAGTTGCCAGGTCGTGGACATCTAGATTTTTGCACATGCATTTATACACGCTTCTATCATCTGACTAAATGATTGCGGACAGTTCTGAATGTAGCAAGAATCCTCCTGCACCATTCTCTGTGGTAGTTATGGCGGTACTGTTTACGATGCGCTACGGATGCAGCACATTTAGGCTTGAACCAAGATTGGCAATTTGGTTTCTGTTGGTATTTCTTCTGTGCTTAGGTAGGGGGTTCCATTATGAAAGGATGGAGTCAATTCTGGAAGCTTTATTTTAGAAGATAGCTGAATGGGACGTTTCCGCAATATATCTTAATCTGGTACAGTCAGCATTGGCGTACCAAAAGATTGTCCACTAAAATGAAACATCAGGTAATGCTTTCGGTTTGGAAATCAAATTTAATCTCGATCAGTGAATGGTCAGAAGTACCCAAAGAGAGTGTCATTTTTCAGGGTATGGTTAGTGAAAGCGGTCTAAGTGTGTGCGTAATGTCTCGTTGTATGAGGAACACGAGTGGGCTTATCAACGTTGTGGGTTGCTTCGGATAAAAACGAGTATTATTGTACACAACAAAATCATTGCATTTAAAAATCATATCGTGTTTAATGCTGAAATTGTTAATCTAAAACCAAGAGCAGTCCTTCAGAGTTTTTTAATGTTTAACCAATCAGTCGAAAAGACAACACATGGGTAGCAAGAAACACCATCCAGCCACGCGTTCCAATAAATTTGCTTACTTGAAATGGGTGGGTTCAAGCAAAAGAAGGTATGCTCTAAGTTGTTGAACACATTTAAATGTTTCCTTAATATAATATATCTGAATCTGTCGCAGTCAGCATTGGCGTACTGAAAGATTATCCACTGAAATGGAACATCAAGTGATGCTTTAGATTTAGAAATCAAATTTAACCTCGATCACTGAATGATCAGAAGTGCCCAAGGGAGGTTCTATTTTGCAGGGTAGGATGTGTGAAAGCAATCTAAGTGTGTGTGTGTAATGTTCCGTCGTGTGATGAACACGATTGGGTTTGTGAACGATGTGGGTTACCTCGAATCAGGACGAGTAATATTGTACACAATTCAAACGTCATGTTGTGGTTCATTATCTAAATTGTTATTTAATCTAAACAATGTAGTTTGCAGCATTTGTAAGTAGCGAATGTTTTGAAATGACAAATCCATTGATGTATAACAGAAAAGAACAGCTTAGTTTTTATCAGCCTTTTTTAAAGCTACATTTATATCCAATAATCCTTTGTTCAACAGGCCGAACAATACTACAGAAGGACAATCCACCGCACCACGATAACACTCAGCGGCCCAACATTTGGATAATATATATATATATATATAGATAGATAGATAGAGAGAGAGAGAGATAGAGATAGATATATATATAGATATATATATATATATATATAGATATATATATATATATATATATATATATATATATATATATATATATATATATATATATATATAGATATATATATAGATATATATATATAGATATATATATATATATATATATATATATATAGATATATATATATATATATATATATATATATATAGATATATATATATATATATATATATATATATATATAGATATATATATATAGATATATATATATATATATATATATATATATATATATATATATATATAGTTTACAAATTGTGAACATAAGAGGCCAATAAAGGGAGGGGTAGAGGCTGGTCAACACTAACTATCTTATACCTAGCTAATCAGATTCGCGACCCATTCGTACATTACATTTTACCCATTCACCAAAAGAACTCGTCCATCACCAAACAATCCTTCAACCACCATAATACCACGTGCTCTCAAGGGAGACCTACCAAAATCGCGCCCCATGCCATAAAAATTTTAATGATGATATATATATATATAATTCTAATAATGATAAAATGAGAGGGAGGAAATGAACCCAATAATAAACTTAAAATAAACACAAATACAAACTAAACATAATTGATGTTAGTAGGGACCGTCCAATCCATAAAACAGAGAGACCGCTCTATTCTGCCCAGGGGACAAAATCAAGAGACGCTCTCGCTAAGGGAGTGGGAAAAAATATTAGGCTGGAATGGGAAAATATAAAACTGACCCAGTCGAGATGAAAGGGGGGGGTCAAAACAAACTGGGGAGGTTGGGAATCTCGACTTGGATCATAACCAAAGAACGGCCGGGATGCAGGCCAGGAACAACACTTACTAACATTAACTAGGTACACTGAAGCTTGTCTAACCTAACCAAGGGGAGAGTTCCACAGGAAGCCACCCCGATGTGCAATAGGTTGACCTAGAAGAGAAAAATCAAGGCTAGCCCCGTTCACAAGAAGCAAGCTCGCTTCTTTTACCCACCTTTCGCTAAAGACTGTCGAATGCAATCGTTTTCTATCCGATCTAATCTTCATCTTGAGCTGATGCTCAAAGAATCGAATTAGATCCGAATGAGGAAGACGATTGCCTTGCAAGACTTCCTCCTTTC